CCCATCGACCCCAGCCTCTCGACCCCCTTCGACCCACTCGACCCCAGCCCCTCAACCCTCTCGACCCATCAACCCTCGACCCCCTTCGACCCACTCAATCCCAGCCCCTCAACCCTCTCGACCCATCAACCCTCAACCCTCAACATCACCACTCGACCCTAGTCCCCAACATCGACCCTTGACTCTAGCCTAGACCGGCGAAGGTGCTCGGTCGAGAGCATATCTACCCGATAGGCCGAGTGTCGAACTCATTTGTTACTTAGTGGTAGACGTGGGGAATTTATGATCCCGAGAACATTTAACTACTATATAAAGGGTAAATTCCTCAAGGGAAAGGTAAGACTCCATTAATATCATTACTACAACATTTATTATAAACAATTCTCTCTCTAAATCCGAGATCCTAACTTGGGCGTCGGAGGGCTTGCGCCGGAGAAATTCCGGCGCGCTTTCAGGTACCGGAGAATACGCAAGCTTGGACCGGATTGAATCAAGCAAACCACGCCATAACCGGGAAGAACCTTCCGTTAGACCGGAGCCACCGATCTCGGACCATATCATGTTCTCTATTTTTTTTTTTGAGAGTTTGTCGTTGGGGTCTCCACATAATACTGCACGTCCTAGAGCACCATGCTCAAGGGGTTCAAAGGCTAAAACCATGCCATCTATGTAAAACAATTGCATATGTTTCAGTATAAAGCAGAAGGTCGTCATATGCTTTGATGAAACAAGTGAAATTAAGGACATGACAATTTGTGACCTCTAGGAGAAGTATCACTAATTAATGTCCGTCGGTTTAGTTCAATGCGTTGTGGCTTGATCAGGCAGGCGGGGCAAGTCACACGCAAGCTTGCCATCATCGTGTGGCGGTAATATTTCATGGGTTGTTCAAGTACATGGGCTTGTAGTGCAGCCAAGTAATGAGATAAAGACCTCAAGCTAATACTCGCCACCACCGTGTAGTACAAGTGTGGCGACATCACATCTGCTAGAGCGACAATCTTAACGCAAATGAAATCAAGTGACTTGGACCGTGATAATATATCCATGTACTGCTATATCATGTGCTCGAGATTTGGCCGTGCAGGCTCTTCCTTGGATGATAGGTTCAGGTCACATTCTAGACGGGATTACTTTCGTGGAAGTTACTACGTACATATAATCATAATTACTTGCCGGTTGGCCACTGTTGTTCGTTTTTATGCTAGTATTACTTAATGATGAATCACAATTTGACAGCAAAATTAAAAGAATTTTAATTTTTGAATTAAGTCTACATCACGGAAACATGAATGATTCATTGATTACACTATGCATCATCATCTTCTTCTTGTACGGCTCTGACTTTGCAAAGGGGGCAGACATTCTTCTCCCTCAGCCACTGCTTGATGCAGTCCACGTGGTAGTCGTGCCCGCACCCAAGGCCCGCCACTTGTTCCCCGTCCCCAAGCGAGTCCTGGCACACCACGCACATCTCCCCACTCCCCCGCTTCCTCTTCAGCCCTCTCGACAAAGCCTCCTCACTCACACCGCTCCCGACCACGATATGATCATCATCAATGGCGCCCGTGTCAATAGTAACATCAACGGCGCCCGTGTCGATATACCTCCCCACCTCCGACCAGATATCCGAGACCAGGTAGTCCGTGTCCGTGTCGGGGACTAGCGAGCCTTGGGCCCGCAGGTAGTTGATATACCGGCAGATTGCGCGCTCCCACACGTGCCCGAAATCCGGGTCGGCGACCATATCCACAAAGTGGGCCCGGTAGTGTGCGAAGTATTCCGGACCGAGGGCATGTATCTCCCGATCCATCCTCCACACAACACGCTGCGAGTCGTTGTTAGTCCACCGCCTTCCCAGCGCGCTCTCCAGCTGCGCGCCGGTGTCGTCGTCTTCTTCTTCTTCGTTGTCAGTGAGTTGGTTCTCCATTACTTCGGTGAAATTGGGATCGACCAAGCCGCAGTCGTCGTGGTCAGGCGGCGTCAACGTAAGGTAATCCATTTTTTTTTTTTTTTAGTATGATATTTTATGGTGTGAGATGAACAGGAAAAGCGATGATCGATGCCTATTTATAATTTCAATTGCTAGTTATGTTTCTTCTAGGATTAGGATTAGGAGATAGTAATAGAAATTATTAGGCTTTTTTTTTTCTTTTTTATATATATATTATTTTAGAAAAATAAAATTTTATACGCAATAATTAATTAATTGCTTGGCATCCAAGGGACTCCTACACACGTCCACGCATACAAACAAGATTTATGTGGGGTCTATACTATTGCATTCATATGGTAATTAATTTTTTTTTATTGATTATGTTTCTACTAAAACAATAAGATTATTAATCATGTTAACAACGAAATCATTTTTTTTTAAAAAAAAAATTAAAGTAAAATAAAAAATTAAATAAAATAACATCATGCTTTGTAATATAAATTAAAGATAATGGAATAATATATTGAGGTATCAAAATAAAAGTGGCTAAAATAGGAAAAGAATATCTAATGTATATGTGTCAATTTTTCTTCTTCTCTTTATGCTTACAAAATTGAATGAGAGACGTTCTTTCCATTTATTTTCAAAGTTCACCTCACTCATTATTTAAGGTTGGTGATTATCTATGATTTTCAATTTCAATGTCATTAATGTAATTTTCCAATATAAAACAATATTTAATATCATATTTTTAAGTTGTAGGTGTCACATGTAATATTTAATAATTTTTCCTCACTCAATTTTTTCTACTGTAATTTTTTTTTTTTTGGCCCAAGAACCTTTTGTTTTCTTTTAAATTGAGACAACACTAACAGCACATGTTGTGTTTACTATGCACTACATGAACCACACAAAAAGTGACATCACGAAAGTAGGGACCGTACATAAATTGATATGGAGCAAAAGCACAAAGCTCAAATGGTAAGGTAACGAGCCCAAGGACACATCATTTAGTGCAACTTAAAGCCAACTTACAGTCTAACAGACTTAACCAACTCGATTTACCTAAATGCACTATCATTTTTCTAAAATCAGTGCTCGAGGTGAAAAACATATTCAGTCAGCCGTTGCAATTTACTCGGGTCCAGCTTCTGCTCGTTCGCAACTGCTTGCTTTTGCACGGTGAGCATTTGGGTCGCAGGGTCCACTGTCCAACCGTGTCCGAGTGCATCTGGAAAGAGCACATACAAGAATAAGCATTGAACTCCTTTTGGACAGAACCATATCTCATAAAAATAAGACAACAAAGAATAAGATATTCATGATCCACAATGGTTCATACATCACATGAATACCGAGCCTAATGGGTATTATTCAACGTATGAAAAGCGGCATAAGAGAAAAAGAGAGCTCACAGTTTGTGGCGTCATCTTCCTTCATCCCTAGGAAAACAGCCGTGTCTTGAATGCTTATTGTGGAATAAGCAGAGAGCAGCAGGTCAAACATCCTTTTAGTATAAAGCTCTGCAGTAAATTAGAAAACAATAGTATTCTTTAACAAGAATTCGTTTCTAGTACTCATATTCAATTAGTAAAAACTGATGGTGAATACAGAAAGTAAATGTCCCATGAAACCCTTGATTTGGACAGAGGACATAACACTACGGACCATTCCAGGTATTCAGGAAATGATACATAGATGCTTATAGAAGAGGACTAATCTCAGACATGAGCTTTTCTTTGAGATGCAACTGCCATTTCATGTTTCATCCAAGTTATCTACAAGAAGGGGTAAATGGGGTATGGTACTATGGTTACTAGTATAATTTGGTAAAACAATAGAGAAATTTTATGATCTGCAAATATAGCACCATTGACAAGGCACTAAAGGTATTCTGTTATTCATATTCTAATTAATATTCTTTAGATGACAAATGCTTTCGTACGCTCAGCAATTGCTCTCCTGTACAATGCATTCATTTGAGCATCGATGAATAAGTGGTAATTTATGTTGTACCATAAGACCAAAAATAAAACTCTGGTGTTTCCAGAAACTACTGGTTAGGGCTTGATAATAGTATGTAATCAAAAAGGGTATCAAAATTTCCGCACTAGTAGTCTAGTATAAAACGTGGCAATTCCTTTTCTCGTAGAATAAAAGGCATGGATCAACCAATGCTCAAGAAAAAAATCTTCTTCATGCCATAACAAATGCAGGGTCTAATCTGATATTCCTAGTTTAGGCAGCAAGGTTTGCAGCACTCATTGCATACATTGATGATAACATTCAAAAATTTCAGCCAAAGACATGAACATTATTTATTGAACGCACGTCACTTGCCAATCTCCATAGAACAACCTTGACACCATCGTTCATATTAAAGTAACAACACAAATCAACTTGCTAATACCACATCAATGCAGTGGAGTCAACTGCGAGTTCATGATGACAACCTTGAGGGCTTGAATAATAGTATTTAATCAATAAGACAAAAGGGTATCACAACCTCCACACTAGTATAAAACATGGCAACTCCTATTCTCGTAGAATAAAATGCATAGATGAACCAATGATCAAGAAAAAATCTTCTTCATGCCATAACAAATGTGGGATCCAATCTGATATTTCTAGTTTAGGAAGCAAGGTTTGCAGCACTCATTGCATACATTGATGTTACATTCAAAAATTGCAGCCAAACACATGAACTATATTTATTAAACACACATTACTTGCCAATCTCCATAGAACAACCTTGACACCATAGTTCGTTCGTTCGAAGCAAAGTAACAACACAAATCAACTTGATAGTAATACACCAATGCAGGGGAGTCAAATGCAAACTTACCCGAGAAGGCTGCGACTATTTCCCGAGTCTGTGGAGTCCAGTTAAACTCACGGATAGCCTCGTGAACACCTCCATAGTCCTTAATCCAGAGCTTCTGGCCGATTTTCCACACGGCAGACACCTCCGGCTGGCCCTCCTTCACAGCCGATGGCACCTTCTTCCACAAAAACCTCGCGCTATTGCTATAAACACGAACAACCAACCAACAAAAAAACACACAAATAATAAAAAAGAAACAGAAACGCAGGAAAATCAACCAATAGGGCCCGAAAACAATACATATCGTTGACGTATATGTGACCGAGTAGATGAACGGCGTAGGGCCACTCGTCCTGATAAGCGACACCTTCAGATGCAACCTGATCGAAGAACAAAAAGAGGTCAAGAGTTAGGGTTTTGCATAGAGTTAAGAATGGGGAAAGGACGTCATTGGTGACCTGAAGCATGAGACTGTCGCAAATCTCGGCGATACGATCGTATGATTTGAACGCCACAGCTTCGTTCAAAGCCGAGAAATCCATCAATGGCGGATACGCGGCGGCCGCGGAGCTTTCTGCTTCTTCCTCTTCTCCTCTACTGCCCTCTCCACTTCCCCTGTGACGGTCGAGTAAGT